TGCATGCACCAGTCACACAAGCAAACTTGCTGAAAGGTTTAAAACACACAACCTGACATTATCAGATTATTTGAAAATATTGAAACAATTCATCAAACCAAATACACAAAGTAGCAACATACCAACTATCACTGACAACGACAAAACACCACAACAAAAATAGACAAAGCCAATGCCTTAAATACCTTTCAATCACAAACTGAACTTAATGATAACAAAACACAACTTCCAGAAATAACGCACACTGTTCATAATCACTTAAAAAACATAAATATTACACCACTAGAAGTTGCATCAATACTGAAATCACTATGCGGATGAAAAGCGGTAGGTCATATAAACAATAAAACCCTAAAAGAACTCTCACAAGAACTTGCTGTACCAATTTGTTGCATATTTAATCATTCTTTACAGTTTGGTAAAGTTCTTTCACAGTGGAAATTCGCACATGTATGTGCTGTGTATAAAAAGGAGAGCCTCAAAATATTTGTAATTAAAGACCAATCTCAGTTTTTAGCACCCTTCGTAAAGTAATGGAAAAAATATTCAAAATATGTTTTCTACTACAACATTATTACTTCACGGCAGTCTGGATTTGTTGCCAAAGGTTCTACTGTAAATCAATTCACTTCAATTTATCATACTTTCTGCCAAGCTCTTGATGAAGGCAAAGAAGTTAGAGCGGTATTTTGTGATATTTCAAAAACTTTTGATCGGGTCTAACAAAAAGGTTAAATACATAAATTATCTATGACAGGTATTTCTGGTAAAACTCTTGTATGGTCCAAAGACTATTTATCTGATCGAAACAACGAGTTGTACTTCCTCGATCTACTTCAGACTTACTTTATATCAACGCTGGTGTTCCTCAATGCAAATATTCTATTCATTGTTTATATCAATGACATTGTTTTGGACATACAATCAATCACCAAACTGTTTGCTGATGACACAACTCTCTACCTTATTGTTGAAAACACTATCACCGCCGCTGCTGAGAACATGAACTCAGACCTTCAAAAAATATGTAATTGGGCAGATACTTGACTTATCAAGCACGACATTATTGTTGTGCTTGTGGTATTTTTAGTTTCAGCTTTTCGGCATTTTCTAGTTGGGTGGTTCCAATATTCCTACTTGAATAATGTTGAATCACCCTTAGGATATGTTGCCTGCTTTTTAAATTTGTCTTTTGACGTCTTATCTGTGATACGCAGGCTTCATAACCTCAGATCCCCTTTCAAAATTCCATTTTATTTAGTTCCGCCCATTGTTTTCTCGTTTAGGGCACACGCATTTTTTTACTTGGGGACCATATGCCGCTTTTCATGGAATGGCATTACCGTGTCACATTGAAGATTCCATGATAACCGCCATATGAACACATCTGCGGATGTTTCAAAATTCTAAATTTTACCAGTTCATGTTAAATGTTGAATTCTGCTTAAGCCGGTGCTAGGGGGCGTGGACGGTAACTTGCACTTTCCAGTACCGTCCATGAACAGGCTCAATCAAACCGAGCCTGCAACATTTTCAATTTTGCCGTGTTGGGCTTTCTTTAGGGATTCTGTATTTATCTATTTTATCAAAATCAATCCGAGCAAAACAGAATCAATTCTTATAACTAAAAATATCTATCACATAACCATCCACGTCTATTTATGAAAAATATTCAATTTTTTGAAGTAGAATCCCATTTATAAACATCTTGGAGTTAAGTTTTCTAAAGACGGGTCCTGGTGTGAACACATTTCATATATTAAACATGAAGCTTGGCAAATAATCAATATCATGCAGAAACTTTAATTTACCCTAGACAGAAAGTCCCTATAAACTATTACTTTCTCCTTTATTAGGCCAATATTAGAGTAATGAGACGTCGTATGGGACAATTTGACACAAAACAGGAACATTAAATGGAACAAATACAGTTGGAAGAAGCTCTAATCATATCTGGAGCTACCAAATTAACCTCACTATCAAACTGGTCTTCTAGGGATTCTGTATTTATCTATTTTATCGCCACATCAGCTTTGTTTCTGCCGTAAGGAGGCTGTAAAATGTCGCCTCGTACATGCAATAAGAGATGCTGTATTTCCGATCCTTAAAGATCGTTCAACACGACATTATCGTTGTGTTTGTGTTATTTTTAGTTTGAGCTATTTGGCATTTTCTAGTTGGGTGGTTCCGATATTCCTACTTGAATAATGTTGAATCACCCTTAGGATATATTGTCTGCTTTTTAACTGTGTCTTTTGTGTTCTTATTTGTGATATGCAGGCTTCATAACCACAGATCCCCTTTTAAAATTCCATTTTGTATAGTTTCGCCAATTGTTTTCTCGTTTAGGGCACACGCTTTTATTACTTGGGGGACCATACGCCGCTTTTTATAGAATGGCACTACTGTGTCACATTGAAGTTTCCGCGGGTGTTTTTAAATTCAAAATTTTATCATTTCATGTTTAAATGTTGAAGCTTAAGCTGTAACTAGAGGATGTGGACGGTAGTTTGCACTTGACATTGCCGTCCATGAAAAGGCTCAATCAAATCGTGTCTGCAACATTTTCAATATTGTCGTTTTATTTATTTCTCTATTTTGAAACTCTTAAATAAAGAAGACTGAAACAAAAATTAATAATGTACAACTAAATTACAAACTTTCTGGTACCACCATATTTATCTTTTCTAGTCCCTGAATCTGTTGGTGATATCACTCCTTATTATTAATTTTAGAAATAGTCACAATACCAGAAACAAACATTGTAACACTCAATTCTTTTCTAAATCATTTCTTCATTCTACAATCAATGAGTGAAACCAACTACCTGTGGAAGTCAGAAATTCAGAAAACATCGGCATATTTAAGAAAAAACTAAATTCTACAATTTCAAAAGTACCTATATACTATTACCACGTTTACCGTATGTCATGAATCTTACACGACTTAAAACCTTTTGAAGCATTCTAAAGGAAGATCTGTTTTTAAAAACATAATTGATGACCCCTTCTGTCAAGGCGGTGAGATTGAAGATTCATGTCACTTTTTTTAATTGTAATCAATTTTCCTGCCAGATGACCATTCTCAAAGAACAGATTCAAACAATAACAACAGTTACAGTGACAACTATACTCTATGGTGACAGAGGTCTCAGCGAACAAACAAATGCCAAAATATTTAATCTTTTACATGATTATATCTCTAGTACAAAGCGGTTTTGTCTTGCTTAACTCTTCATATAATTCATAAACAATATAACTGGTGTATGTACGTATGTTTATCACGTGTTTTTATAATTCAACATTCTTTTATTTTATCTATTTCTATATCATCATGATTTATACTTTGTAACGATAATAACAAGCTACTAGGTATTATATCCAGGATGTAAATAAACCACAATAAAGCTATTAGTATCAAAGGGGGGTGGTCCGTCTTCCGTAGTCATGTGTCAACAATAATTTTCTTCTGTGTAACTGCTGGGCAGATTTACCTCAAATCTGAGCTTTAGCATCATTGTGACAATCACACTTTAATTTTCTCATGGTATTTCAGTTGGCCCCTTTGAGTGGTCAAAATAGAAAAACTTGACCTACTAATCAATCCACTTATGTTTTATTGAAATTGCATTAGTGGTATAAGATGAGTAGTCCGGTCATACTTTAAAAAATAAAAATAATTTAAAGGCCATAACCCCGACAAAATTCATTGAACCATAAAAATTCGATGGTATGCACAACTAGACTTGGTACTGATAATTCCTGTAAAGTTTAGAAAAATTTGCACCAGTAATTTAAGTTCGGACAAGTTTTGTGATGGACAGACAGACGGACGTACTTACGAAATGGTACTTATGTGACTTTTCCTTTGATTTTTTTTAGCAATTTTTAGTCACACAAGGTTTAAAAAAAGACGCACCAGTAAAAACGGAATGAATAGGATCAAAGAGAATTGACTGTTACCTATTGTTCTCAAAAATAGAGTGAAATAAAGAATCCCTAAAGAAAGCCCACCAAGACAAAATTGAAAATGTTGCAGGCTCGGTTTGAATGAGCATGTTCATGGACGGTTAAACAAAGTGCAAGATACCGTCCACGCCCTCTAGCACACGCTTAAGCAGAATTCAACATTTAACATGAACTGGTACAAACTGGTATTTCGAAACAGCCGCAGGTGTGTTCATATTGCGCTTATCATGGAACCTTCAATGTGACACGTAAGTGCCATTCCATGAATAGCGGCATATGGTCCCCAAGTAAAAAAAGTCACACATGTACCTGTGGGTTTGTACGGACAGACAGACGACGAAAAAGTGATCCCTATACTCCGTAGAGGCGACACAATAAAACAAATCATTACCTTAAATTAAAAAAAAACTAAACATAAAAAACACATGAGCACAAAACATTAAAATCATTATTCAAACATTTAGTTTTAACCTCAAAAATACAATTTAGATTTTTTTTATAAAAATAATTACACTTAAATATTTCAAAGATATTTTGAATGGATATTTGTATTAAATTACCGTTTAAGGAAATATATAAACATAAATGTATTTATTTGGGGGTTTTATATAAAAGTATCGTTATGTTTGTATGAAAGTTTTATTGTCGTTGTTTAGATAAAAATGACGTCACGCGGCGTCTCATGCCACACCAAAACTTGATGATCAATGTTAATCTTATAATGGTTAAATATAAATGATCAATTAGTTGCATAAACGAATTCAAATAGATCCCATCACATCCCCCCTCTCTCTCTCTCTCTCTCTCTCCCTCTCTCTCTCTCTCTCTCTCTTCTCTCTCTCCCTCTCTCTCTCTCTCTCTCTCTCTCTCTCTCTCTCTCTCTCTCTCTCTCTCTCTCTCTCTCTCTCTCTCATACATGAAAACATTATTAGTTACAACTGCTAAGGCAATTAATAAAGATAAACTTATTACTCTGAATAATTTTTCTTGATAATCTATCAATCTTATATTTTCATAAACATATAATTTCAGATCTTACTTCATGTATATGATAAAGAAAACAGCGAACACAGCGAAAGATTAGAACTTTATGAAAACGAGCTGAAAAATAATCTGACCATGTATTCTTTTACAACATACGAAGCTAATGATAAGAATCAGAGGCACATGCCGATGCTTGTAATCATGGACAAAAGAACAGAAGACCTCATGGATTGTTTTAAGAGTTTGGATGAAGATCTGATCAGTAAGTTTTAAAACATAGTATTACTTTTATTTAGTAATGTTGGAAAGACAGGCGTCACAAAAAAATCACCAATGGAAATTCGTAATTAGTGTCTAACTTCATACAAGGAAACATTTTTAGTAACAATTTAAATGCTAAGGCCCTTAATGGACTCGGATATCCTATAATTAATTTCTTTTTTCTCGAATTATCAAGCTACATGTTATCATAATAAAAATATGTTACATCATTGACAATCATAATACTTGTTGCTTAATGAATTGCTTTAAAATAATTTTGAATCCTTTAAAATTTCATGTGAATAAGCTACCCAGCTTTATGAACAAGAATGGTGGACAGCACTTTAGACCACTTTTTTTCCTTCTTCGTCTATATAAAGCAACCATCTTGGATTTTGATATTAGGTGCAGTCAATTTTCCAGATGATATGTTTGTCTGGAGATGTCATTTTTATGATAAGTCATACTTTGCTTAACAATTGCTTAACAGGATCAATCTGATAGTTTTTTTAACTCTTACCACTGAAGTATACAATATGTAAACCAATGACATTAAAGTAGTAATAAAAGTCACCAAACTATAATACATTGTTCATATTTTATTATCATAACATTTTGAGAGCAGTTATAATAACTCTTCAATAGTCGTATGGAAAAGACACACAACCATTTTTCACTCTTTTATCAAATACAATCCTAAACTTTTTTGTTTGGGTTAGTGTTAAAAGTTTAGGTAGATCACGGTCTCTACATATTTTATGGTAATCTTTAACGGTTATAATTTCATTTTTTGGGCTTGTAACCATTTCTTTGATTGTTCAAAGTGTATTGTTTTTTGTTTTTTAAGTGAAGCGTTTTGCCTAAACCTAATATTGAATATTATTTACCCGTCTGAAGTACGTGTTAACATCTAAGGTTCCTCTACTAAATGCAGAAAACTGACACTTTTCCGATATTTATTTGAAGTGCACAGACCTAATAGAGAACAACAAATAGGTGTTTCGTAACTTTTGTGTTTGTAAACATACGATAAATTGTACTTAATACACGTATCAGCGTAAATATTATTGCCATTGTTATTAATTTATATGAAGTAAATGATTTGTTTTACGGTTTTCTTTTGTAACAATGTCAGTGATTTCAGTTAATATACATATATGTAAACGAAACAGAGAATTTTAGAGAAGAAGCCGTACGTTACCACGATCAAACCGGATGAAAATTCTCTCGCTTCGAATCTGGTGACGCGCATTTCAGAAGAAGTACGGGACGAAACCTCATGAAATAAATTTCTGTGTGCCAGGAACATTGTGGAGAAGGTTGTTATATGTACCTTTACACAAGAACATCACGAATTTCAGAGAAAAAAAAGGGAAAAACCTACTTTTTGGCTGCATCCGCCATCTTGTTTGTTTGGGTAACGAACGGCGTGATTCCTCCCCGTGATATAAACATTATTTTATAAAGATAAGTTGAACTTGGTGATATATATTGAGAAAAATGAGTCCATTTTGCCTCATTGATTCAAAGCTCTCAAATCTACGGTTTGTAGCCGAAACTTTTTCAGTTTTTAGGCTGACACCATCTCTTTATTGGGACTCCGTCTGCAGTGAATGCAACACATATTCATTTTCATGACGGGGACAGGAAATATTTAAACGTTATGGGTTGCATTTCGTAACATATCTCCCTCATCCTAGAAACTTCAGACAGCAAGACAAGCTCTTATATATAACAGTATGCGGACAACTCTGTGTATTTAATCGGTGTTGACAGTGTCTCATCACAGAATTATACATATCATATACTACAGTGGTACGAGATTTGAAAAGCTATAGGATTGATCCTGTAAAGCAATTGTTAAGCAAAGTATGACTTATCATAAAAATGACATCTCCAGACAAACATATCCTCTCAAAAATTGACTGCTCTTAAAATCAAAATCCAAAATCCTTTTTCTTTTAAAAGCATAAAGAGACAAAGAGTCTTTAATATATAAATGTAAATTATTCCATATATGCATAGCATTATTTCTATAAGTTCTTTTAGCATATTTTGTATTAGATCTTACATGTATTACGTTTCTATTTGTAGTTGATCTAAGTGTATATGTTTCATATTTCGAGCACACTAAGATATCTGTAATGTAGGAAAAAGGCAATCCGTGTATAGATTTAAATACTAACAATGTTGTATGATACGTGCATCTATTTTCAAAAGTTAACCAGTTTAATTTAAGGAAAAGCTGTAAGATGGTGTTTTACTGGTAAACACAATATTACCTTTGCTGCACGTTCTGCGGTTTATTCACTTTTTCAATTTCAGTTTTATTACTCTATAATATATCATCGAAACAAGGTAAAATATAAGCATTGTAAAACATTTCTTTTATTTAAGAGGATAAAAAAACAATACACGCTTTAAGAGAGAAGTCACTTGAAATAAATATGGGTTTTGTCTCCGCCCACTTTCATATTTGTATTCCATATTTAATTTGTTTTTTAACAAATATGAAACATATTCGACTGATATAACACCATATTTCATTGGGTAAAATTAAATAATATAAACTTTTTGACATACAATAATGAAGACTCTTTGATATTTGACAATGTTATGTGACTTGGTTGTTTAAAGGTCTATTGGGCCGGGTGAAAATGCGGTTACTCTGAATTTAATTGCACCACAAAATTGATTTTACACATGTTACTTAAGTTAATCAATTTTTTATCTTATCTTATCTTATCTTATCTTATCTTATCTTATCTTACATATCCTTATATTCTATATCTAATATATCCTTGTATTTTATATTTTTGACATATGTTCAATTGTCTACGGATATTTTCTGAATAATTACCTAATGACCAGATAGTATCTTCTAATTATGGTAAGTGTGTCTCCTAATTAGGCTTCAGGTAAAAGATCAGGGAAAATGTGTGCATTAAGGTCATAGTATGTATATCTTATTTATGTGTGAGTATGCCTAAAATGTTGATATTGTTCCGGTCGACATTTATACGGATTTGGTTAAAACTGGACATCTGTTAGCATTTTTAAGTTGATAATAATTGTCAGACATAATATGTTTAAATCATAATTTTACTGAAATTTTACTGAAATATACTTAATTTTCCTCTTGATGTTCAATATATACATGTACATTCGTCAAACATTACCGAAGATTACACGCATTGTTTTTGTTTAAATCTAAGACCACGTGGTAGAACTACTTTCAGACCGTATTAAATCCGAGGATTTTATGAATAATAACTTAGGACGTTTCGATTGCCGGGTTGACTGGCACCAAGAAGTTGTTCAAAAACCAATGGCGAAAATGGTTTGTATGCAGGCTTCATAACCTCAGATCCCCTTTCAAAATTCCATTTCATTTAGTTCCGCCCATTATTTTCTCGTTAAGGACACACACATTCTTTTACTTGGGGACCATACGCCGCTTTTAATAGAATGACGGTACTGTGTCACATTGAAGGTTCCATGATAACCGCCGTATGAACCCATCTGCGGATGTTTTTAAATTCATAATTTCACCATTTTTGTGTTTATATGTTGAATTCTGCTTAAGCCGGTGCTATGGGGCGGGCGTGGACGGTAACTTGCACGTTCCAGTACCGTCCATGAACAGGCTCAATCAAACCGAGCCTCAAACATTTCTTTAGGGATTCTGTTTTTCTCTATTCTTTTGTATTTAAAACTCAAAATTGTGCTCTAATTTATAAACGAAATAGTTCTAGTCAATCCGACAACAAGTGCTGACTTTCTTTACAGATGAATGCACTTATTTCAGCCAAACTAGAAAACTAAAATCACTAAAATAAATACACAGACAAGGTAAAAACTCAAATGTTCATTTTTGTATTCCACTATGGCGTAATTGAACGGCCATTCCCCTCAAATGTTGTTGACTTGCTTTGCTTCTAGTGGGGTTCTAACCGGTAGGGGAGTTTTATGTTTGCTTGCAATACTTTGATAATTACTTGATCTTTATGTATTTCTATCAACATTACCAAACATACAAGTATTTGCTCTATAACACTATTATTCATATTCAGAGTCTAATATGATTATCAAATTGAACTTACACATTTGATATTTGACTTATCACGGTTTTATAAGAGTGACTTAAAATGAAATAGAAAAATTACAAGTTTTGGTCTCATTCGCATACATTAAAAAGTGCCGTCATTAAAATGTTTCATTTATCCCTTCATGATCATATTATGAATATATTGCCTTTGTGTAGAAAATCAGTATGGTGGAAGTGTCGTTATAGTGGTGTTGTGTACAGATTTTAACATCAACTTCGACAAAGGCAACTACACTTTGGTTGAGGATATCGTACAAGTTCATTTTGAATGCAATACACTTGAACCAAATGGACGACTCCATTTAATAGGAAAAGATTATGCTGTGGAAAGAATTCGGTATGTGTTTCATTAGAAACGAAATATTAAAATATCATCATGCTATTACATTTATGGAGTTTGACAAATCAATTGATCAGTTTAAAAAAATTATTTTGATCAATGTTGTTGAATTTTTATACTGATTTTGAGTTGCATCATTTTAACATTATATCTGTATATGTATATTAAATCTACAAAATAATTTGTTTCAAAAGGTAAAACAAATAATTGCCAGAAAAACTGAGAAATAACCATTTATATAATGCCTTAGATATACACATGTATAATTTGCATTATACATGTAATCATATTAAAGCAGTCTAGAATGTTGTAGTAATTCATGTTATTCGTTTCATGAATAATTATTTGCGTTTGTTTTTATTTAACAGAGCTGTGTTAGACAAGATAAAAGTAAGTTTACAGACTAAATGTACTAGAAATATCTTATCAAATAACAAAGCTAAGAGAATAATATCGCAATAAATTCATTGATAAGAATTCTTCAAAAGCAGCAAATAATTAAACGCGTATATGTGACTGATACATTTGTTTGAATTTGATATAAGACGCAATTACAAAATGTATTTTCATAGAACAGTGTAAAAAATACCTTTAAATACAGATGCAAAGAATACTATTACATTTTTTATCATTTTAAAAGGAAATATTAAAGAAGGTTCGTTCATTTTTGTTTAATTTGTATTGAAAATTATTGAGATAAAACAGTTTTTCTTTCTCATCTTCATAGAAATTATAAGAATTTTTTACGAGCTAAATTTGTTGTTACAAGTATGCGATTTTAATAAAAACAAGTGTTTTTCTGAAAGTTTATATAATTTCTCGCTTCGAATGTTTTCTCTAATAAAAGTCACTCGATATTGTTAAAACTTGGTGTGTGCGAACTTTAAATTGATTAAAGTGTACGTTTTGAAATGTATACAGACAGGTTTCCACAGCAACATGGTAATTGGCACCCGGAGCAGTAAAAATATATATAAATTTCTACAATAGAATTACATGTACCAAGTAAACATTTCTTCCCTTAGTTTGTTAAAAGCTTTAAAAAGTAAACAAAAATATCAGCTCTCAAAGTGACGTTTTGATATTGTTCCTCAAAGCTTTAAATCGGCTGCAGTGTTTTAACGGAAATGACATCATTTTGTGTCCTACCATTTAAATCGACTGTAGGAAAAATAACGTCGATCAGTAACTTTCAGTTGAAAGGGTAAAACAATTTTCGCAAACTTTAAAGCTCAATTCAAACAGCTTATAGATACCCTGCTAGGATTTGAGGTTCTGGATCACCCACCAAGAAGTCCGGACTTAGCCTCAATTGAATTAAAAAATTTATCATGATGTTAAAGAGGCATTTATTTGTAATTAAGTTGTTTTCAACGCAAGTACATTCTAAACCCTCAACTTTTGATATCCTCACTTAACGAGGACTGGTTTGTTAAAACATACTTGACATGGATTAGGAAAGACACATAAAATGTATTCATCTCGTGTAAATACCTTGAGAAATTGTGACTAAGAAGACTGAACGACGTCATTTTTATATTCACGTCAAATTATGATCCGGGCATTGGTTACATGCATTGTTGTTTTAACTGTAAAAATATAATTTAGCATTATCTTATATAAAAAAAAATGTGGACAATTAGAAACTTGAGATTTGTTAGATGTTGTCATGATTATCTGGCATTTGATAAGGAAATAATACAAGCTTTCCGGACAACCCTCGAATTTCGCTTCTTGAAATGATTTTCTTAAACAATCAAATATACCAGATCACTAAACAGTGTTTTATTTATCATTAATTTACAAATCACAAATGGTACTTGATATTTCTTCAGGTTCTGATATATGATGAAGAGAAAGGAAAATCAACAAAGTGTTTTGTTGCTGCCTTAGAAAAATGTCTCCCCGAATTGAGATTCAAAGATTTTGACCGCGCTACTGACGTAGAAAAGGCATATTTTTATATTATTGCAGTTCTACGCCAGACATCAATACGCATTGAAGAAAACATTAACCCGTTAAAGATGCAATTAGAAAGAAGTACGTTGATATCTGTAAATTCAATTTCTAAATAAAATCATTGTAACATGAGGTTTGGAAATTGTTATAAATTAAAAGCAAGTGCACACGAGTAATAACATTAAAGTTTGTAAATAAGTATTATGTCAGTCTCAAGCTCAAATCAATCCAAAAAGCTTCATCAATTGATTACTGTGTGTATGTCATGTTTGTTTGATTGTTTTGGTCATATGTCTAGGACAACCGCATTGTCATAACCAGTTTTTCTGCATGTGACAAACCGACTTCTAATCCAACATGATCTTAGAATCAGCAGTGAGAGACAAGTGATGATGACTCAATGTCAGAGATTAATTGTCACTGAGAGTATTTGCCTCGCCCGAGGACCCCTTTATTTACAATTCATTTTTTTTGGTCCTTTTTGAGCTTAGTGGGCTGAAAGAAAACATAATTTTATTATATGACTTGTGATCTTTCAGTAAATACTACAAATGTACTTTTGGATACAATCTAAAATCGAAGTAGCCTCAAATTAAATTTCATGTCCCATTTCAAATCAATATTCTTTTGCCTTGTTCTTCTGATAAATTAATCTTTTTTGATTTCTCAAAACTAGTACATTTTATAAATATGTGTTTCTCCTTAAGGTAGAACGCGACTCTTTGCGAACTTTCGAGTAGCTTTTTGAAAATTGGCATGTAAAAGGTTGACAATTTTTCTGATTATATTCCATTGATTGTATTTAGTAGTTTCCGCAATTTTTTGTACGCACGACATTAAAGTTTACCACCAAAGCTCGTTTTCTTGTTGTTTTTTTTTTAACATGTCGTTTCGTATCCTTGGCAACTGTTACGGGTAGCACAAAGCCATAGGCGGACAAAATATCTTAAATTCTACAGCATTCGACGACAATTATTTTTTCCTTTAAGCTGTATCGTTTTACTCCGAAAAACATTCAGTTTTAGCCATATTTTTCGGCTTTTAAGCGGATTATTAAAATATTTCTGAAATATTTTTTTTGGATTGTTTTCTTTACACGTCCTTTTATTGTATACTCAGTCTAAATAATTACAAAAATAGGGTGTAACCGGCTCAATTCGTTGGCTAAACATTATTTTATTTCCCTCATCCCTTTGGTTAATAGTCACGCTATCACAGGGCGTTTGTTATTTTGTTTGTCATTAAAAAGAAAGCCCTGTGCCAGAATCCCGCTTTTTTTTGTTGAACCTAATCAGACCTATGGTCAACTTTTAACACGACAATTCTCAAGACGATACTCGAAAGTTTGCAAAGTGTCGCTTTCTACATTAAGATGGTGGTGCCAAAGAAAGGGTCAATTATACATTGTGAAGTGCAATACTGATTCTACTGGATTTGTACGCACCCGCTTAACATAAACTTGTGTTTTGCAGCTCTTTACACGTAAAATAAAGTTCATAATATTGCATGACAATTCATCATGAGAACCTATATTTACATTTAAAGACTTTCTTTTAAATGCAAAATGTCATTTTGTTCAAGGATCTTAAATCTGATAAGGATGAAATATAATAAAGAATTACATAATTTTATTCTCTTTACAGAAAATGTTAACCCGAAAAAAGTAATCGTCACATACTTTTATATGTGTAAGCCAGATGAAACGTTTCAAGATTTAAAGGCTGAACGGTTGTACTTTGCGAATACAGTATTAATGGACTTCATCGACAAGGACCTGGAGGCCGGACCTTTCCGATTATGTCCCATTTGGCGAGTTCCGAAAAAGATTAACGCAGTTGCTTTACAGGAACTGAAAAAATCAACACAGTTAGAAAATATCAGAATGGTAATGATAACATTTATTACGCCAACGCACATGTGCACGCATTACACGCACGCACTGAAGTACCTAACTTAAGAATACAATTACTTCTGGAAACATAAAGGCATGTGGACCTAAGTCCTTTTGGTCAAATGTATCTAAAAACAGATATTTATTCTAACAAAAACTGATAAATTCCAAACACAACACAACATTGCTTCTAGAAATATTGTATTATTTAATGTTTTTTACATTGTTTTTTAGTTTTGACCAAGGGTTATCAATATTTTATCTTGTCAAAACTATTTATTAGACACAAAGTCGCAAAAACGTTTAATTAACAATAACATTAACTATAATATAGCCTTCCTTTTCATTTGACTTTATGACAAACCTTTTTTACTTGACCTGGTACCCTTGCTGTTTTAATTTGTTATAAAAATGTTTAATCCTCACATCTTTCCGAGATTGCGTTGAGATAATTTATCTTAAAAGTCTGATACGCGTAATAACATATGTACCTTCTAATTGTTTTCTTTGACATTGAACTAAAGATACCTATATTCGAACTAATCCGTGGGTCATACTGATATAGTTTGAAACACCATGACCTTTAGAGTGTTAACTGCTGACGATTGTAGCCTGATCGACATACTTAATATATATTAATAACGCTCCGGTCATCTTTATATTTTTGGACTTTTGTTAACCCTAATTTAACTAGTTATTGTTAATATGTTTTTATAAATACTTCAAAATTTGTTTCTTTATTTAAGGAATGGTTTGTCGATTACATTGAATCCAATACGCCACTTATCAACAAATTTGTTGAGGAATTAAGCAAATCCATTCCAAGCTCACTTCCTTTACGAAAGGTTATTGACCTGAAAAGTGTAACCTCCCCGACTTTGGTTTTCTGTACAGTGAATCAGGAGCAACACGAAGTAAAAGGAGGTAAAGTTTGAATATCATCTAATACGTAAATACACTTTCAAGGTTTATATTCATCTGAATGACATGTTGTTGCATCAAAACGCTTGAATGTCATATTTTTCTGGTCTCTTGGTTATTTCAAAATGCACAATTTTTTTTGTCTTCAAGGAAGTATTTAACTTTAAATTGTTTTTAAAAATAAGGAATCTAACACAATGCTCTTTATGTTACAGACATGGGGAAAGTTATCCTTTTCCACATCATTGATCCCGATTCGGGCATGAACCCTCAAAGTGGGCCTTGTCAACAATACGGACAGACTTGGAAGGTATATCATAGCGATGGAAAATTTCATGTGGAAATGAATTTCTTGAAAGAGTTTGAAAGCTTTGTTCGCATGTGTTACAGACAGATGTAGCAAGTATCGCAAATGAACCCTCTTTTAGTTGCAGATATGCATCTATATGCAATTTCGTGCAGGAACGTGTCTTCAATCCACTATGATATAAATATTCTACGATAGATTATCTTCACTCATGAATAGATTATCTTCACTCATGAAATTAGTAATTGATATATTAAAAAGGAACTGACAGTACCATTATTATCTTCACTTGTATATATTTGAATATGTCATGTTTACATTTTATACTATTTTATTAGATGTGCGGGGAAATCGGGAGATGAATATGACCTAAGGCGCTAGGCTCCGAGTGTTTCATTGGTGTTATCAAGGCTATATACTCTTGTATATATATAGTCAGCAACTTATATTACGAATTTATGATAGCGCAAATGTTAGTGACGGAAACTTTATGAGAAAACGAAGAAATTTTAGACTGTTTTTTTTTAAAAGCGCGGTGAAAAAGACACAGCTTAATAAGATAATAGCAGACGTTCAATGGCTTCGCGAACGCTGTGCAATGAAAATGTATTCAAATAAAAAGCCATCATGGCGGTATACCTTTTTTCTTCTTTTTGTGATAATGACATTTGTATCGAGAAATGTGCCATAAAGAACAAAACGCATCTACTGATTTTATATAACTTTGATGAAAAAAATACTTTGTTATTTGTGCGCACTTCGGTTCTTCACGGTATGAAAGGTATTGTATACAAGTATATAATTGTTTCATACAATCAAAATTCGTGGAAATTATTAAAATTGCTAGAAAATATATATGAATTACGTAATCCCTGGTCATGTTTTATGACGTATTCATTTATACATTGTATCTTGTTTTATTTTTCAAGTAATAGACTGAAACTATCACACTTGCACAGTTTTGTTTTAATTAATGTAAAGTCTCCATAATAGCCTAAACTTGATATATTAATTATAAAAAAGGTTAACCTCTTCATTTGGAGGCTGCAAGATATAAAGTAGTTTAAACTTTATGCGTTTTTCATGTTCAAGTTATGTTTGTCAATTTAAATAACAAATGTCCACTTAAACATATATATGGTCAGTGTTAACTTTTGCATGATTAAACGCTTTTTTGTATTAAATATTGCGTTATATTTTTGCTTATATTTTCAAGCTAGAACATTGACTTTCAAATTTGAATAATTTATCTTCTTTATGGACATTTTTTTCTAGGCAGTGCAGTTAAAATTATCAGACTTTTAAACAGAGCTTTAAAGGCATACTATGCCACATAAACAAACAAAAAATGTCATAAAAGTAGAGAACTGTAAACAATGTTGTATTTGACTTCCATACAAAAAAGCGGTTCCTTTTGCTGACATATGGAAACTATTGGTAATTGGCCAATAGTAAACATTTTTGATACTGTTTAGTATACACTTACATTAAAAGATTTTTTTCAAAAATATAATAAAAGCATTTTTAAGGAATAAGGGCCTTAAAACTCATATTTCGCTACGTGCAGGGACAAATTGCAGCAAAACTGCCCTTCAGTACTTTGGTTTTATTAAGCAAAAAAGTCGAAAGTTCTTTATTCAATCCTGATTAATGTTGTTGTTGTTGAGCTGTGGAGAATGACAAAGCTTTGAAAATTTCTTTGTTTCGACCGGAATTTCTATCTATCTCAGACAATCGATTCCAAGTTTTCGTTACAGAAGTTTGCTAGAATAAAGTAGAATGCTACCGTTTCTTGATATTTCGACATGCATGTTTTGAATCAATTCCAAGAAAGACTATACCCTTATTCCCATCCGCAACCACAACCCCTACCCTAAAAAAAAACAAATATGTACTGAGATTGTATTCATAGACTTGTAATGGTGTGTTTTTAATGTGGTTGTTTTGTGATTGTGACTTTTTTGTGCTCATCAGTACATTATTATAACTGTAAAAACTGGAATAAACTACGAAAAACTTAAATGGTCTTGGTTATTATTGATAATTTTAAGGCAGACTATTATGTCCAATGGAAAAGTGCGGTTTTCTCAATATTATGTGGTGAACGGTGAGTTTTTATCCATTTCATTCCTAGTTTCACTTTGTGAGTTAAGGTACAAATAATGGACGTAGTGAAATAAGGATCTCTTTTACATACGCATAGCATATGTAGTACAGCTATCAATATAGTTTAAAAAAGTAATTTTAGAAATAAAAATATACTGTATATATAATATATAGACAAGGGATTGAACTCTCCAAATCGGCCCAATGCCAATAGTCCAGTATAAGTCAAAATTGCAAAGTCATTTTTACGTAAATCATATAAAGCTATATATCAAATTGCAGCTAAATAATATCACTAGACGTTGACAATAACATAATTGTCCCCACTTATACCGTTTATGAACAACAAACCGATATTTCGGCTGGAATATCGTATTTTTGCTAGGTCGGACACGATCGTGTAACATGTCCCCACCCGATTTTCTACGAGTAAAAACGCAAGTTCAAACCATGTCATTGTACCAACCCGCAATAAATCGATAAAACAAATTCAAAGAAACAGCATACCGCCGGAAATATATTTTTAAAATGTTTTATTACATCTGTAAACAACAAATTTCTGAATGTGAAAATGAAAGTTGAACTCAGCATCCAATGGCTATTACGTGACCGATTTGAAACGAATTATTTCATTGGTTGATTAAAATACGAAGCTGACCTGGGTCACAGTATAGTCTAATCCAACCGGAGCCGATTATGTATCATGGCTTCAAAATAAATTAACGGAAGAATCAGTAAAAAAAACACATAGATTGAATTTTATGCATAGCTAGGGAGCCACATAGGTTCGCCCACGACGTGTTTTCTGTCGTGATCTTCACGTAACGGATCCTACAAATAAATCTTTAACAAAATACATGATGTTTTAGAAATTCAAATTATGTTTACTTAAGATGTTCTTATTAAAGGCTTATTATGCTTCAGAAATACTTTTATTTTCATTTCTCAAAAGCTTTTTAACTTTAGTTTATTTTTAAAGCATTCAAAAATATACTCATTCGCCAATTACCTGGACCATCTTTTTCATCTGTAGCTTTGTGGCAATAAGTATAGTTACAGTGAATAGAATTTTGTATGGAAGTCAAAATACTACTTTGTTTACATTGCTACATTTATGACAAAATATTTCACATTCATCGCTGCTTTCTTTAGGTAAAAAGCATAAAACCATAATCTAAAAGCATTATAAAACTCATGTTTTTCCTTTCTAAAAATTAAGATATTTTTTGAAGCTTTATGTGCCTTTAATATTATAAAGTTAATTATTTGAAATTGTAATTGGTGTCATTTGCACAACACGTTAAAGGTTCGCGATTGTTAATGAAAATTTAATAATGTACCACAACAGGGCAATAGCCAGATAAATTAACCGAGTATAGGGTAATTGGCGTGGAACCAAACCGTACCACCAGGACCCATTCCACAACTCTCTTTATTGCATTAATATCCCGCAACCAAGAAACACAAAGTATTCGTTTAAAATACACGTCAACACAAAATCAAACAATTTTAACAGATATATGTTACTGATAACTTTTCATTAAAAGTTTTATTTGTATGATGTCTCTGGTGTGTCCTGAATCATTTCTGGACGCATTTTACCGAAGAAAAAATACTTTTGGGCATATTTATTACATGCTCTATCCAAATGCTTCCCATTTTGCTCTGGCATCTTTTGCAAAATCATTTTTTCAAAAAGTTAAAGGACAATTCAAATGCCTTAAAACTGTTAAATCAAACATTTTTAAAAGAAAGAAAAAGAACATTTCCAGATTAAAACCAGATCCAACTAAGTGAGATGCGATTGATACATTACTTATGAAACAAGGCCTTAAAATATGCTGTTGTTTTGTTGGTTTTTTGTTATCATATAAACATCAAAACAACGTATCGGAATATTATATATAATTATACATGTAGATATAAAGTGATCGGTTGCGAGATTCTAGATAATGATCTACTTATGTTGTTAAACGTCTAAAAATAACTTTTGTCTGTTTTTTGCTTTTCCCTAATGACAAGCTAATCAACGCATTTGGACTAACTACATACTTACTTTCCTGTTATGGATTTGTTTCACAACTTTCTTCTGGTTTTTAGCTAAGTTAGTCTATGTTTTTTGGTTCTCTCATCTTCAATTAGCCTTACAGAATCTATAGACAGTCATATGTTGTATTGCTGCGTTTTGTAACAGAGAGGTTATGTGCAATAGTCTTAAACGTGTTCTTTGATAATGTCATATTCCATGTATTTTGTTTTAGTGAGTTCATATCAGGAGAAATTCATATGATCGTGTGCACTTTTTATACTTGAACCGTTTTTCCTATAACAAGGTCGTTGTTGCCACAGAAATCCGTGTAGAGTTGTTTATTCTCGCTCATTATACCAAACAATCCCTATTTTCCCTTATTCACGTTGTCACATTTTTGCATTCCTGTCAACACTGAGGCAATGTCTCTTCTTGCCACATAATCAATCATGTTCTGATGTTCTTGATAATAGTCATCCTCTTTTTCCTGATTCTTACGGTTTGAGGGAGAAAAACAATAGACTTTATTCACTCTCTAAACTTTGAACACATTTTACAGCTGTACTGAAATTTAAATTGGTTGTCATGACAAAATTTAGATCAATTTCTATTATTTTTCAGTCCTACTGAAACAGTATTCATTATCCTTTCAATAGCTTTAAATGAAAACAAAACAAAACAATTGGTCATAAGGTCATAATTAAGATCAGCTGATCCGATACTGTGCGCATGATGCAACTTTGATAGCTGTCTATCAAACCGTTTTGTCCCAGAATCATGTTCTGACGAAATTCATTGTGGTCTTCTTTACAATGCTATACACAAAATATCGGAATTCTAGGCCCTCATTCATATAGAAATTTATTTTAAGGGATTTTCGTAAATGCCTCTTAAAGTGGCCATTGTGGAAATTAAACCAAAGAGTCATGATTTACAAACTAATATAGTTGTACTTATTCGGGTTTTCAGGAGATGCTTTTGCAATTCTTTTCTGACATGTGTAAACAAATGATTACGTGCCGGGACTAATAGTATTAATAGGGTCATTGTAATGCTTCACAATACAATGCTCAAAACAAATACATTACTTCCAGGCTTATAAAGGTTTTGCTATATACGAGGGTGTTCAAATATGAATGCAACTTGATCAATTTTCGAAAGTGTTTAACAAATAGTGCTAAATAATTATCTCAATCATTCAAAATACTTACAAACATGTGCTATAAAAAGTTTTAGTCTGTTTATCCAATTTGTAAATGCGTTTTGATAATCTTGTCGAGGTATATTGTTCAGACACTGGAAAATAGCCGAACCGAGACTTTTACGCGTTTGATATTTTCTTTCAGCAGGCTGTTTTTTGAGCCTCTAAAATATGAAAGAAGTCATAAGGGGCAAGATCTGGCGAATAAGGAGAGTTAGGAAGCTCGACAACCTTTCCATGTTTCAGATATTTTCGTACAATGGCCGCTTTGTGTGAAGAGGCATTGTAATGCATCAACCTGACACCACGGAGACCAGTTGCTGGTCGCCGGCTTTTGAAATATTAACTTTATGAACGATCTCGCCTTTGTAAAACTTGGCATTTATGGATTTACCCTTTGGTACGGCAATTTGAATAGCAGGACCTCGATTGGTAAAGAAAATTACATACATGGCCTTTTTGACGCTTAAGGTGCGTTTTGCTATGCCAGTTCTTTGACTGCCTTTGGTTGTCTTATTGTGTTATGTATTTTTCGCTTGGGCTCATAAAAGTGATCCCACGTCTCATCGCCAATGATTTTTGAAAAAGATTTATTGTTGTATTTAGGTATTTAGGATTTTGTTGGATATTCTTACCAGAGCAACATTTTGCTGTTTTGTTAGGAGATGGGGTATCCGCTTATCCTTCTCATTTTCAAATCACATCTGAGAATTGAATGAGGGGCTCCAATAGAGATACTAACGCATTAAGCTATATACCTAGTTGTAAATCTTGAATCAGTAACAATCAAATCCTTTACTTTTTAAAATATTTTTTGGCGAAGATACAGATTTCGGAGGTCGGGCATGTGGTCCATGTTTTACTACTTTTTAATTTATTACACCACCGTGTGACAGAAGAAACAGAAAGTTCATTGTTTCAATAAACATGACATATTTCATTAAATATGTCTGTCGCCCGTATAA